CGACCTGCTCGTTAAAACTATCCTAGACGTCGTACAATTATTAAAGGTTTGGATGATCTATGGCAAATGGATTTGGCTGAAATGCGTCCTTATGCGTATCAAAATAAAAATTTCAAAATGATTATGGTTATAATAGACTGTTTTTCGAAATTTATGTGGACACGCCCACTTAAGACAAAGACAGGTGAGGAAATAACGAAAGCTTTTGCCGATGTTCTCGCTCATTCCAAAAGAATACCGAAAACTTTACAAACAGATCAAGGAACCGAATTTTTCAATACAAAATTCCAAAATTTAATGAAAAAATACAACATTAATTATTATAATTCATACAGTGTTGTCAAAGCTGCGATTGCCGAAAGAGCAATAAGAACTTTAAAATCGAAATTATATAAATACTTTAGTTTAGTTGGAACATACAAGTGGCTTGACGCCTTACCTAACCTAACAAAAGAATATAATGAAACGAAACATAGAACGATTGGATGTAAGTCTGCGCAGGTAAACAAGACAGACGAAAAATATATTTTGAAACAAAAATATTCTCACTTGAAAATTGCAGGGCCTAGAAAACTTAAAGTCGGCGACATTGTACGCATTAGTAAAGCGAAACACGTTTTTGAAAAAGGCTATACGCCCAATTGGATTACAGAATTATTTAAAGTTGCAAAATGTAAGATAACCAATCCCGCTACGTATCTTCTCGAGGACATGGAGGGTGCACCAATCAAAGGCGCATTCTACGAAGAAGAATTACAGAAAACCACAAATCCTGATATCTACTTGGTGGAGAAGATTCTTAAACGCAAAGGAAATAAAATGTACGTTAAATGGTTGGGGCTAAAAGGTAACAGTTGGATCAAAAACGATGATTTTGTATAGGTTCACGAACAAATTTCTACGGGCCTACGTCAGTCGAAACCGGTAAAGTGGGGGCTATAAATAGGAGCAGCATTGTCAGTTTGTACTTTAGTAATCATGTGTAGCCAAGACAGTGGTATCGAAGTAATAGTCGAGAGTGAAATGTCCGATAGTGATATGGATGATATTGATGCTGAATTCGATCAATTTTTCGAAAAGCTAAAACCTTCTGAAGAACTTAACAAAATTGCACAATCCTATGAAGATGCTGCAAAACGTGAGATGCATTACCTACTTCAAACCTCATATATGTTATCAGGATACGACATTCGATGCGGTATAAGTCCAGCGAGATCGTTTACTCCAGCAATCATTTTGGCTCAACACTTTAGGTCTACTAAAATATCTTTTGGAACTTTCGAATGGGCTCTTTTTGTTGATATTCTCAGACAAAAGATGGATGATTTTTTCGAGGAAGACTTGCCTACATATCCAGACGAGTATGACCCCATAACGTTTTCATGTAGCGATTATTGTATGATTACGCAACTGGTTTATGACGACATCAAATTCTTGGTTGTGAAAAAACATGGCATTGAATACTATTTGTGTAACGAGGAAGTGCAAGAAATTCTTGAAATTAACCATTGCAAATTTTATTCTCAATGTGTGATATACTTCCATTTGTTAAACCATGCTTTAAGGGAGTACCTTCATTTTTATAAAATTTCTGTAATAAATGATTTAAATAAATTATTTTTTGAAAACTAGTTTTGTTTTATTTTATACTTCTCCTACATTTTTTACCCTCTCAAAATAAAAGTCAAAATAGAAAAAAATATTTTTTATTACTTAAAAATCTAGTTACAAATGGTGAATATTACATACATAATCTACAGAAAAAATTATTTTGTAGATATTACATAAATATCTTAAAATCTACAGAAAAAATTTAAATATATGACAATATTTCTATACAGAAAAAAAAAACAATTGTTACAAGTAAATAACATACGAAAAAAGGATATAAAGCGATTTTTTAAAAATATTTTTATTTACCAGTGTTTTTGACAAATTACATCCAGAATTTGTTATTTATAGGAGACGTATGTAGTGCATTTGAAAAATGTTTTATTCTTTAGGAATATTATAATGGCCCCGGGAAAGTGTGTCAAAACTATTTGGAATCAAATAGCGTTTATCGTCATGAGGACCAATTTTCGATTGTTCGATACTATACACATTATGCGCAAATGATCTAATACAACGTTGTGTAGTTGTTTTTTCCTGATTTTCTTTTAAACATCTAACGTAATCTTTGAAGGTAATTTTATTTTTAACTATGTTATATTTAACCCCTTTCGATTTCTTAACCACTTTACCACCCTGCACTTTATAACTATACATTTTGGAGCGAAGTCCTACAAAGTGAGTCATAATTTTCCCATTATTTTCGTCTTTCATTAATCCCAAAACTTTTTTATTAACTCTAGGAATATTATAGATGTTATCTTCGCTATAATCAGATGTATGAAATTCGGCTAAATCTGCTTTTATTACGTCCTCGTATACATTATCACAGAGCAATTCATAGACAAAACTGTGTCCATGTACATTAATTTGCACTTAGTTACACCCATTTTTGGTAGCATGTAATTATAATGAAAATTGTACATGACAGTCTTAGACAAGTCTAGAATTGCCTGTCCTACATACAGAGGTTTATTAAATACTATTTCAGACTTTGTTAGTTCGATAGCCATCAAATTTTCCCCTAAAATTGTACGACTATGGAACCGAAAACTTGAGATAAAATTTTTGGCTCCATAACGTCCGTGCCATGATTTAACTAGCTTAACTATACGGTGCTTGCGAATATTTTCCATTGTCTTGCCAAACACTGCGTTGTTCTCAAAATCATTCTTAGCTGCTGCCCTTAATCCGGTATTTAGCTCGATGTAGGGCTTCAACCAAGCTGCTTGATTAAATTTCAAAATTTTATGAATTTTAGTTATAATTAATCCATTAGCCAACATTTGTTTTAAATTTCTATAGTGAACTGTGTATTCTTTTTTATCCGTAAGGGTTGTAAGTAATTTTGGTAATTTTGATCCTGGTAGAACGCAGTGTTCAGCAGCAAATGGAAAATCTTTGTTTGTCATGCAGATCTCGTGGGTACGATAAATCAACTTGCAAAACGTACCCTACGTTAGAGTCATCCGGTATTGACATCACATCAAAATTTTCGGTGTTATCGACCCAGCTGAATCCTCCGTAGGGTAGTAATTCACACATAGCTTTCCCGTATAAATTATTCACGTCTAGGTACATTAGAAATTTTGAAGGTTTCGTGGGATCATACTCAGCCATATATTTGTTATTAACCTCTGAATATCGGCTACTACACACCGATATTCCACCTCTTATGGCGCTTTCGTAAAACATAACCATGTCTAGATCCTTGAGAATTTTTAACTTGCATCTAGTATACTTGAGCATACAGTCCCAAGTATAGCCAGGCATAGTGTAATACCATGCAGGATCTAGACCGTACGTCTTAAAACAGTTTTTGCGAAATTGTTCGAAAACATCCGCAAGAAGCAGAATATCAGTTTTTAAATATAGGTCTGAGTATTGTCCCAAATCCTGAATGTTAAATTTTTGCCAAATTTGCTGTGCATGAGCGTATTTCTCAGCACTAATATGTTCATCGTTTAATTTATTGTAAAAGTGGTAATGAATAAAAAAACTCCTTTGCGTGTTAACAATTCAAATTGATTATTAGTTAAATTTGGAAATTCGCGTTTTAAAATTTTCTTCTCTGAGTTATCTAAAATTGAAGCTAATTCATCAAGAGATGTTCCCATGAATCGCAATGAATCAATAAAACGTAATTTAATGTTAGTTTCATCTGAATGAAGAGTAAATGAAATATATTTATCCTTATTGATTGGAAGTAAGCTCAAACATCCCTTTTTACATAAATTCGAAATCATGAAATGACTTTCGTACCCACTTAGGTTATGAAAGACCACTGGCACAACAAACAATTTTCGGAAATTCAGATTACATGCTTGGTGCGAAAATCCCCTTAAGGATCCGTTGAAGTGGTCATGGTCCCTTACAATTATGTCCTTGGAGGAAAACTGTTTATTACATATATGACAAATTTTTGCCTTACATGTATCTGGTTTTCAATCATAGGCACAATTGTTTTTATTTTAGAATTTACAAATTTTGCTACATCTTCCATTCGATCTGCAAACCAATCCATGCAATCCTCACCGCGATAACTATCGAAATAAGAAAGGCTGTCATCATATGAACATTTTACATAGTAGCCTGCACTATACGCAACATGTTTTTGATATTTTAAAGTTTTAGTTATACTAGGTTGATTAAAATTTTCTAATTGACACTCAAAATCAGCATAAACGACAAACGGTAGTTTGCTGATTGTAAAGTTTCGAAATTCAACAAAATCAAATTGAGGAACACTCATTTTATACTTATTTAATTTAGAGCAAAGTTTTTCATGTTCAGCTATTTTATCTTGACTACTAAAATAATTTAAACATCTATCACATATATATTTTTTGGACGTATTTTTATTTAGTTGCTGTGAAACTAATCGTGATAAATCTTTGATCCAGCAATAATGATATTTAATCTCTTCGTCTACATCATCAACCGGTGGAGCATCGTAATCATTTAATTTTGGATAATATTTATTTTTAATTAAAAGTAAATTGACATGCTTCTCTAATTTATTTTTTGTCAGTCTAGCCGGTACTACTGTGTAAAATGTTTTTTTTCTCTCTCGTTTAATTCCAAAGCATAAACGTTTACTGAAATTTGGTTTATTTTTTAAAATTTTGGAATTTGGCTTAATTCCATTGGACATTCTAAATCCTCTATTTGTAGAAATTGTTTGTAATATGGATACGAGGAGGTTCGATCTGTATTTTTACTAGCAGGATAAAGAGCACTAATAATGGACCAATAAAAGCAGGCATGATCGGTATTTTTAATATTAATACAAGCTTGTTTTTTTAAAATTTCCTCAGGTAATTTAATGTAAGACGACCCGTTCCCCATTTCATATTTATTTACATTTAATGCTAATGATACGATTTTACTTAATGCCCACCCACTATCTTTCTCCGCAAATTCCGATAATTTTTTAAAATTTTATCTTGCACATTATCCTTAAACCAATCTGTTATTTCAGTCGATTTATCAATAAGAGCATTTTTAGTATTGAAATAATTTAAATCTAAAATCTCAATATCGTTAGATTTTTTGATAAATTCGCCACAAACTGTAGTATTTACTTTAAGTGCGTGATGTTCTTTTAAAATTTTTTTAATTTTATTTTTAAAAATAACTACACAATCTTCCAAAAATGTATCTAAGTCCTTATGCCGTATATTAACTATAATTCCAGTTTTAACTCTACTTTTAAAACTAGATTCTACATTAGCCCATTTTACTCGTTGCCCCAATTTTGATTGTATGCCCATACCAATATGCCTATTCAAAATTAATTTTCTAAAATGTTTAAAATGTCCTACATTAGTTTCCAATTTACATAGAGCACCAATAGATAAATTATATTGCCGTCTACTACGAATTGCCTTATTACGTGATTTAATCTGTCTTTGTAGTCGTTTTAACCAAATCTCTGCATCTTTAATTGTAAAATTATCGAACAAAATTTTCCTAAGTTTTTTTATAGCCGACAATACACCATCAGATTGTTTAATAACACTAAAAGGATTCATTTTAACACTGGCAAACAAAAAATATTAAAAAAATCGCTTACCCTTTTATACTTAATTTTCGATTATTTCAAATGATGCTGCTGGTTGTGGTTTGCCAGTGTCTACTGCACCCCTGTAGATAATTACGTATCTTGACGCCGTGAAATGATGGATGTTTGGTCGGTATAGTTCCGTAACTCTATTCGGTAAAAAGGTCACTGAGTGGTCCAATTCTAGCAGCACTGATTCCCCAAATTTTCCTTTGGTAATTTTGGCCGCTAAGATGGTGTGCGGAATGCCCAAAGGTAGAGTACTCAGCTTCACGACGGGTTTATTCTCTTTAATTAAAGAACATTTATTTAGTGTATTTAGATTCATCTAAAAAAATTACTACTTTAAACATAGAATAGGAAAACTAAAAGCAAAATAATTAATGCGTGAAAAATTATTTATAAAAAATCTATGTATGAAGCATCCTATAAATTTTTTTTAAAATTTACTTACTTTTAAAACGATAATGTGGGGTCGATCTGTAGTTGTAGTTGATTGACGGATGATTGACAGTTGATTGACGAATGATTGACAGCTGATTGGCGGCTTTATCTAAATAAAGAATAATCTTTTTTAGTTTACTAAAAATTATTAATTTTAAAACTTTTCACAAAAGTTCACAAATGTATTTTTATAAAAATCAATAATTAAAAATGTAGCTCGTTTTCTCAAAAATCTAATATCAAAAGTACAGAAACAGAAATAGTATCAGACAATTTAAAAAAAAATAAAAAAACAAAGAGCATTTAGAAAAAAGAAAATCTAATATCAAAAGTACAGAAATAGTCTCTAACAATTTAAAAAATTAAAAAACAAAGAGCATTTAGAAAAAAGAAAATCTAATATCAAAAGTACAGAAATAGTCTCTGACAATTTAAAAAAAAATAAAAAAAAAAATAAAAGAGTATTTAGAAAAAAGAAAATCATTTTCCCTAATTTAAGCTAAGCTACCTTAAATGCTTTGTAAAAGAAAACTACTATTATTCACTTTAGAACTGCTTCTGTTGCCGGTGTAACGTGAAATGAAGAACGATAGCTTATCTCCCTATTTATACCCACATAGTTATCAGACGAAAATTCTAGAAAACATTTGTTCAATTGCGTTTCCTGTAAATGCGGTTTCACCAGTCTGAGAAAGTTTCTTATCAAAATTCTAACTTATACAGTTGTGGCTTGGGAATAATACTTTTATCATTTTTTCACGGGAATGCGTTTCCTGTAAATTTTGTTTCGGCGTTTGATAATTTTATTATCAATTTTCAAGTTTCAACAATTGTGGCTTGTTATCGGTGTATGTGTTGTTTAAAATTTTATAAATGTATGATACAGAATGTCCTATATTATTGCAAATCAATATCCATTTTGTCTATGATCTTTTAGGATGAATATAATTTTTCAGGTGGGCTATATTTACACCGGTTGTTGGACAAGGGTGCTCCCAAAGACTTAAATTTGTCAAATCTTTTATCACTTTCTTTTTATCTTCGTAAAATCTTATCTCTTCTAAGTTTCTGAACTTTTTCCACAAACTATTCAATTCTACGGTTATTCTGTTTGCTAGACATCTCGATACTGAATATTGAATCACCTATTTACATTAAAAAATATCCTTTTGGTTATTGCGCATGATTTTTCTCTTGTACGTTAATCTATACCACGTTTTCTACGTAATGTCGTTTTTCCCGTTTGAATCGGACCAACGATAGCTGAGATATACGCTAAGGTCCTTTTGTCCTGTCACTGCGCATGATTTTTCTTGTCGACGTTAATCTATACCACGTTCTCTACATAACCCCGTTTTCCCCGTTTAAATCGGACCAACGATAGCTGAGATATACGCTAAGGTCCTTTTGTAATGTCACTGCGCATGATTTTTCTTTTCGACGTTAATCTATACCACGTTCTCTACATAACCCCATTTTCCCCGTTTAAATCGGACCAACGATAGCTGAGATATACGCTAAGGCCCTTCTGCCTTTTCGTTCTACGCAAGTTTTTTTTGTTCGACGTTAAAGGAAATTTAATTCCACACTCCCCCCACTACCCCGTTTTCCCCTCAGACCGTCTATATCACTCTTACCTACTGAATATGTACCTCTCACTCTTACACGTTGAATTCCCTATGTGACCCGTGTCGGTTTTGTCTATCTACTACGCTACATATTGAAATTTTAGGAAAATCAGAGCTACATGCTGAATGGTTACGTGGTTGACATAATATGTGTTGTAAAGTGTTACTAGATATATAAGGAGTTTAATGGCATCATTAAACTTCTTATCGCATTATCTTGAAGAACTTTAGCACTGAGTGTGACAAGCAAAAACGAAACGTCAAACGAAATTTCAAATGAAACGTCGAACGAAACATCAAACGTCAAACGAAAACATCATCAAAAACGTCAAACGAAATGTCAAACTAAACATGTTCTTTACTTTGATATATCACACGTATTTCTAGCTCGTCATCAATTTTAAAATGACGTTTGAATGACAGATCCATTAAAAACATGTTGCATTACATTACATACTCAAAAATTACAGAAATTGGAGACATTAATTCAAAAAGTGTCAATAAGGCACAACGATTGGCAAATTTATTATTAGTATGTCACGTAGTAATGATATAATAATTTCAGCCAGATAACAGTTCAAGGTAAACATCAACAACAACGATCCGTTAATGCCCTTTTATCTTTGATGGTAATTCTTTCGTTGGAAATTACAGCTAGATGACAATTCACGCTGAATGTCGTTTGCCCCATTCGAATCGGACCAATAGAAATAAAGTTTTAGGCCCTTCTGGAAATCACATGATTTTTCTATTCAAAGTTAATCTTTCTCTACATAATGCCGTTTTTCCCGTTTGAATCGGACCACGTGATACATACTAAGGCGCTTCTGGCATTCGCATGTTTTTTTCTGTTTGACGTTTTCGAGTTCTCTTCATAATGCCGTTTTTCCCGCTTAAATCGGACCACGTGATACACGCTAAAGCCATTCTGGCTTTACTCATGTTTTTTCTCTTCAACGTTAATCTATACCACGTTCTCAACATAGTGCCGTTTTTCCCGTTTGAATCGGTCCAGTAGTATCCGAGAAACATGCTAAGGCCCTTGTGGCTTTTCGTGCAAAAACACATTGTTTTTGTTCCAGCAGCTACAACAGCAGCACCCAGTATAAAAAATATATTCTTTATAAAAAAACCTCTCATTCCAAACCAGCAGCAGGAACGACACCCTGGATATAAGTTAATTTTATAATAATATATACCACTTGTAGTCGCTGGTTAAGGAATGAGAGTTGGTGGATCGACAAGTTAGTTACTGATAAGATTCTCGACGCGTGACGTCACCGTAAAAATAGCAGAATGAACCTTAGCGATTTCCCATGTTAATTTACATAAGGAATGCGCTTGAATGAACATAGCATCTTTACTGATCCGGAATCATTTCGAAACTGATCCGGATCAGTTCTCTTGTTTCTCTTTTACTGACAAGTTCGAGTAAGGTTAGTTTAGGTCAGCAAGAGTTGGCTGGTGACGTCATGACGAGTGACAAAAATTGGCAGAATACACCATGTTAATTTACATGTTTACGCTCGAACTCCCCTAGCCCCTTGTTTCAATATCAAAATTCTCCGGAACAACGTTGTCGGTCGAATATACTAACACCCTGTATAAATGTAACACGTCTTAATGTTTGAAATCGAGGTTAAAATAATTTTAAACATCTTTGAGATGAAATAAAATACTGTTGTTTTACATGATTGGTTTTTATTTAAAATAATACATTCATCAATTTCAACATATGTTACACTTAAAACGGTTATTATCCAGTGTGAATTTTCAAGTTTACTTTTTAAACAAACCATTTCGAACATATCGATACCTTTTTGCCAGACTATCGTAAGTGCCATTTGAACAAACGTCTGACAAAAAGGTATCGATATTGCAAACTAGAACGGCTATTCTCCAATGTAACTTTTTCAAATAAAATTTTCGTTTCACACTTGAACGGTTCTTCTTTGATATGAATTTTTAAGTATGATTCTAAATAATGTTTTCGAACTCTTTGGAACATGGTTCGCACTTGAAAGGTTTTGCCACCGGTGTGAAATTTTTAGTGCTATTTTAAACTGTCTTTCTGTAAACTACTTCGAACATATTTCAAACTTAAACAGTTTTTCTTCAGTGATGTTTTAAATCCGTGTTCAACAGTTTTTCTCCAGTGTGAATTTTGAAGTGCTTTTTAAAGTTTACTTCTCGGACAAACTGTTTTAAACATATTTCACACTCAAAGAATTTCTCTCGAGTGTGAATCTTTAAGTGCGTATTCAAGTTTATTTTTTGGGTAAACTGTTTCGAACATATTTTACACTTGAACGGTTTTTCCCCAGTGTGAATTTTAAAGTGATTTTTAATATCGGATTTCTGGATAAACCGTTTCGAACATATTTCACATTTAAACGGTTTCTCTCCAGTGTGACTTTTGAAGTGCTTTTTTAAGTTTACCGCTTGGAAAAAGCGTTCCAAACATATTTCGCACTTAAACGGTTTGTCTCCGGTATGAATTTTTAGATGCGTATGTAAACTACCTTTCTGAGTAAACTGTTTCGAACATATTTCACACTTAAACGGTTTTTCTCCAATATGAATCTTTAAGTGTTTTTTAAAATCGCATTTTTTGATAAACTGGTTCAAACATATTTTACACTCAAACAATTTATCTCGAGTGTGAATCTTTAAGTGCGTTTTCAAATTTATTTTTTGAGCAAACTGTTTCGAACATATTTCACACTTGAACGGCCTTTCTCCATTGTGAACTCTGAAGTGATTTTTATAATCGGATTTCTGGATAAACCGTTTTGAACATATTTCACACTTAATCGGTTTTTCCCCAGTGTGAATTTTTGAGTGCCTTTTTAGGTTTTCTTTTTGGGCAAACTGTTTCGAACACATTTCACACTCAAAC